AATTTTCAAAAAGAATCATACGCGTTATAATAGTTTTGAATTTACATATATCTGTACTATATGGAGATGGGACAGTGAAGTAAAGAGCTGTGTCTTATATAAAGCAGGCCATCCAAACATGGCTGTTTTGAGCCGTATCTCAAGGTTGGAGATAGTCGGCTGCCCCTACAGACTTATAAATACTGCGAGATAGTGGTCAGTTGTGGTCAACATGAAGTCTCTAGTGCTGGCGGTGGCTGTCTTCTGTCTCTTTGTGCAGGCGGTAGGTAGTGACTTCTGACTCTTTGTCTAGATCTTCGTCTATTGTCTCTATACCTTCTTTAATATTGTGTGTGAGAAATAGATATCTATTAATATAAAGGCTTATTTTTAAGCAATAGATATAAATTACACACATTTTATTTGATTAAAAAGGAATATATTGGATCAAAATATCATTTATTCTACCAATATTTCAGTTGGCTGAACGCCAACCTTTATCAAGGTATTATAACATATTAATATATGTCAACAACAAACACTATTTTCAAAGCATATTTATTATTTTAAAAATTATAAAAATAACTTCATATAAAGAGAGACTATGATGAAGATAGACGTTCAGCCTTGCAAATATACAAATTTTTGAAAATAATAAAATACTTCAATTTCACCCAAAAATAAACCCCATTATAATAAATTAAATCTTTCTAATATAACTAGAAAACACTCAACTCTTTCTAAGACTGCGTATAGATGAAAACCTTTGTGCTTATTGGTGATTTTTCAACTTTGCTCTTCTTGATCTCTTCAAACTCCGGAGCGAAAAATAGGATTTGTATAGATAAATGATATGTCAATATATATATTGTCACAGCCGACATAGACTCATGTAGATATACTAATTAATAATTTAACTTATAAAACAAATCAAGGTTGATTTGTTTATACTTTGTTAACATTGTGCAGCCACGGCGTTCTTCATTTTATTTTGTAACCTCACCAAAATAAAGCGTTAGCTTTTTAATGAGAACTCGTTCTGGTTTATTTTAGATACAATGGAAACCGCTGAACAAAGACTATCTACATCTCAAGGTGTAATATATATAGAAGCAAACACTATACGCCATCTATCTGACCTCTCTAGAAACTAAAATATTTTAGTATTTGGTAGATGACCCATAGTTTTGCGTCTATTTTAACGGTAGAGCTGGCCTTTTCATTTAATAGGTGAATGTCTTCCCGATATAATTTTAATCAAAAAAGGCTCTTGTTATTGTAAAAAATACATTCTGTGTAAAAACCTGCTCTATTCATAAAACTGAACATTTGAAATTGTTATTTATCAACGACATCTATTGAAAAATATATTAACTAAACACGGTTTTATTTTTGGTCCTGATATAATAGCTGGAAAGGCAAACGTAAGTTGGTTTTATGAATTTATAAAGTAACTGTATTTAGTCTTAATACTGTCTGTGATAAAAATAAATATTAGTTAGGATTTATACTGATAGTTAAGTATAAGCCATCAGTAAATCTTTGTTTCATCATCAATTTGTTTACGTATTTTATACCTGATATATTTTCTATCCCTCCTGTTTGTGTTATATGTTACCGTATTTATAAACATCTGTGCTTATATTTTAAACTATTTTGGTTCATTAGAATTCTCTTTATTTTGTTAAAATCTATTTTATTTTTAGGTATACCAGTGTTTCTTCTAATATTTATATCTAAGCTTTTATAGCTCTTTTTGTTCGCGAATCACCTTCAATCATAAATTTTAACCAATTTTAAATTTTATTATACCTATCTCTTTCTCTTTCTCTGCAAATCGAAATTCAAATTTGACACCTCACCGTTATAGCATGTTATAAATAGAATAAAACTCTAATATTAAACGATAATAGATATTGAATTTGGGAAAAACATTTTAGCCATATAATTGCTACATTTGAAAGCCTTCTTTGCGTGTATCTTTCAATGACATAGACCCACATATTTAGATATTGAAAGGACACTTCTTAATCGTGTCATTCATTACTGTTAACTACCTGAAAAACCATGATAGTTCAAGAAAGGTGATTGGCCAATTCCATGGCAAATAAAAATCAACAAGTCAGCTGATTATTTTCTCCGATGGATGGCAGTAGGTTATCAGCAACATTCAGTTGTACAATTAGAAGGTGACAATTGAAAATTAAAACAATTTTATTGTCATCTTGACAATTTTACAAAGAGTGCAACAGTAGTATAAGAAGAAGAAAGGATATATACAGAAGTTCAAAATATATACAAAGATTAAGCGATGGAGGATAAAGGAAGGCATCCCCGGCGTGCGAGCGTCCTCGTCCAGGCGATGAGCGGGTCCTCCACTCCACCGAGCCCAACCTGGACAAAGTGGCGGTAGACGCGCAGCTTTGCCGACGCGAGGATGGTCAGGGCGTCGTCCTCAAGGTGTCATTCGATCATCCCATGATATCCTTTTATACTTTCACTCTCTTTTTGAGAACGTTTCAAAACCTCAATCAAAATGAAAAGATGCATTTTTGCACATTTCATTCTCCAACAATGATACAACACATCATGTTTTAATTAAAATACGCACTAAGAATGAACTGAGAACACTAGTCTGTCCCATATACCACACTAGCCGAATGACCCGGGCAACGCCCGTGTTTTACCCGATTGAATGTTTTTATTCAAATACTATTTGTTACAATTATGAATTGGCGCCTTATATAAATGCATATATTAGTTAATAACTATAGCCTATGTGCTTTATCTGTCTAAGTACTGTTGGCTTCCGTAGGCGTCTCTTACTGGGAAAAAGAAAGAGAGGATTCCATTTAGTTATTAACTAATATATGCATTTATTTAAGGAGCGATCCGCTCCAACACAATAGTTACAAAAACCAAAAAGCGAGTGGGGGGGGGGCAAAGGTGGCGTGATCGTAGACAACCAATAGGAGAGCGCCATTCCAAAAAAAAAAAGCAAACGGTGACAGAGATGAAGAATTATTAAGAACGCATGACGCTCGTAACTGTATATAGAATAGAACTAAGTTTGTTTCATATGTGAAAGAAACATTCGTTTCTTAATGATATTATTTCCAATATATAGATGGCTGTTTATATAGAAATAAGTGTTAGAATATATTTGAATATATTAGAAAAATATCTCTGAGAAGAAAAGTAGACTCATGGTCAAAACTTGAGAAGGTAAAAAGTCTTTGATATTGTTTGTTGTTGTTTTTTTTTTTTCTTTGAAGGTTACAGAAGCAATTTTGTTCACACTTGTACTTCCAGTTCACGATGGATTTAAAATTTCTAACACACACATATACCTATTTCCCATTATTACAAACACTTTCTTCCCATTTATTTGTTTTTAGGGTTTTATCATATTGTTGCATCATGGCTAATGAACCTATTCTATTTTAATTTGTAATATTATTTTTCATATATTTTAAATTCAGAATTATATTTTATATTTATATTTATTTTATTAAACAGAATATATGTATTATAGAATCATTATTTGTATTTAGGTACACGTGTGACTTAACTGCTCTCTTTGATGTGAGAAATAAATAAATAAATAATTCTTGAGACTACTTAAAGTAGAGTTATCTCATTATTTCCTTATATAAATTTGTAGGATGGTTGAGACACGTTCTGGTAAGATGCAAGACCCAGCACAGGAGAGAATCAAGGTCGAAGAGTCTGCCAAGCCGCAACCTGGTGCAACAATATACATGTTATTTGATAAATAGGAACACTTAAAATATATAACTACAAGGTGTATTTTTACATTTTTTACAGAATACATTAATAGCTTTATGACAATTAAAACAATTCATTCGGCAAAACATCAACACTTCTTTCTGGCGATGATGATTAATACAATTAAAACAAATTCCTTTGTATTTTTTAACTCTTTGTGTAAAGTTTATAATAAATGAAATGATGAAATATATTGTGAGGGCTTGACAAATCAGTGATGAATTCTTCTAACGATTCCACCAATTTTCTGTTTAATTAGTAATATACATTTTGACATAATAATTGAAATGCTTGTGTTTTGGCAGAAATTATATAAATTTTCTATTTGAAAACTGTTCTTCAATTTGAAATTAAAACACAAAATAGAAAAGAAAAATTACAATTCTATTAAATAAATAGAATTTTTAAAGATATTAATATGTTTTAATAGGTTGCTGTGAAATAATATTAAGCAATTGTTTCTGAGATAATATATTGAATTCTAGGGGTAAATGATGACTCAGAAATTTTAATTGAATAGCGAAATTCCAATTTATTTTATAATAAATATTGAAAATGATTACTTAACCTATGTAAATATTAAATCAATCAGAGGGAAATAGTAAAATTCATGCATTAAAAATTACTCTCTTATTTATATTTAACTAGAAGAATGACCCGGCTTCGCCCGAGAAATCCCCCGAGTGAAGTAGCCTTCATACTGAAAGTACATCAATAATTTTTTTTTTTGCTTATCCCTAGTACACGTGGTACAGGCCATGATAATCATGGTGGGTAGTAGGCGACTGCTTTTACTGTAAGCGCACCACATGTCTACACATGTGAAAAGCAGTTCGACTTTGCACTTACAAATGTGTCAGAACCCCGTTTGGTTTTACTTGCACTCGCTGGTGGGGTTGGACTTTTGCAAGAATCGGGGGCCATTGGAGCATTTTTTTTTAAACAGAAAATAGTTTCCAATGCGGGAATCGAACCCGGGTCGTAGCGGTCGAAAACCAAACGGTTTAACCAGCCTTCCACCGACCCCCTACATCAATAATAAATAGTAGAAGTGCCATTGAATAGCAATACAGAAGAAAAACATAAAGTACAGGAAAAAAAGTGTGTAATGGCAAAAATTGTATTATATTAGTGTTTAGGTATTTGATTTAATTATTTTTTGCAATCCATTTAGTTGTTTCAAAATTAACAATATAAATGAGTTTTAAAGAAAAAATTGTAAAAAAAAAAAATGCTTCGGCCGAGAATCGAACCCGGGCCGCCCGCTGGCAGGCGAACATTCTACCACTGAACCACCGATGCTAATAAGATATGGCCATATTTTGGTATTTATTCCATTCACAAAAGCAAACGATGACAGAATTGATTGTTGATGACTCTGATACTTGTATATTTTAATATTTTGTAATTATAATTTGTAATTTAATTTTTATAAGTATATATAGTTTTTTATTTTTAATTTCTTATATACAAAAAAATGGCCATGACAGTTCTGTAGACTGACTTGATATATGTAAATAATTTGAAAAAAAGAGGAAAAATAAAAATCAGGTAAAAAGTTTCTTTTAATTTTTCCTCTTTCAAATAATTTCTGGGTAACTATTGCTCGCATATGTAAATAGTGTTGTTTGTGCAAATTAACGATGTGATGATTTTCACATCTAGCTACTTGTGATGTGCAGCAAAGTCTGGGATGTGAGAGCGATTCGGACTGTAATTCCGAAAAGTGTTGCGTGAAAGGCGTCGTGTCTCGGTGTCAACCTAAATCTGGCTTGGGTAAGTGTACACACATGTATATATACCCCTACTTTCCCTAACATATCTTTGTGTACACTTAGTAATCACATTAAGTGTGTATTTACTCCGTACCCCAGTAAATATTAGCATGATAATCCAGGTGGACATTGTAAGTACACCACAGGCTACAAGAAATAAACACTCCAACTCTGCGATTGCAATGTGTCACAGAGGAGCGTCCTTTTGCCATAGCTGTTGTAGTGAATTTGTCACAGACACGAGTCTTCTAGTTGCAGTGACGATCAATGGATGTTACATACTTCTTGCATTTGTTTTGAAAGAGAAGTCATTTTTTAAAAATAGAATATATAATATCCTCCCCTTGTCAACAGACATGGACAAGTTGAAACTGTGGCTTGTTGCAGGTGACGTCTGTACCAATGCTCTCTTCAACGCCTGCCCCTGTCCTGTAGGTCTCGTTTGTCGAGTAAGTGACATTGTTTGTACCTCGCATTGACGGAGTTTCAAAAGTTCTAACAAAACCCTTAAGCCTTTTTTATCCCAAAAACATGCGCTTACCTTTAAATAGCAATTCGTACTCAATACCTAAAAAGGTGCTTATTTATGAAACACATTATAATATATAATATTCAATTGAAAAGGCATATATTAGATTAAAAAAAAATATTAACCAATATTTCAGTTGGATAAACTCCAACCTTTTTCAAGGTATTACAACATAATTATGTCAACATCAAACTCAGCGACAAATAACGTCAACAGAATTATGTTAAAAAAATAATTTTCTCTATATTTAATGAAGAGGGAAAAATATTTTGATAAATATATATATTGGAAAAGTGGAAATATTTTTAATAGATCAAATACGTATATATTTTTGGAAAAGTTTTATTTGACTCTTGACTAACACGAGTATATATTGAAGTACTAAGTGAAATCTTAATATCACAAAAACAAATTTGATTCCAGAAGAAGACCGAATATGTAAAATCTATAATGAACACACACACACAATGATTAGACATTTAAAAATTCCATCAATCAACTCTCTATGTAGTGTAGTTTAGTGTTGATAGATGGCAGCACTGACCCAACGTGTGCAGGGTAAATGGTACGAGGTCCCTACATGCAAACTCCCCTTCGACCTGCCTGAGGAAATATCCCTGTGACGAGACTGAGTGGAATAAACACTTCTTATGGTACAAAAACTGTCTTTTCCTTCTGAACATATATACACACTCTATTGACCAAAAACAAATACCGAAAATAAAATATAATTAATTTTGCTTGTGATGACATTACCAGAACTGGATTACTTCCTATATTGGGTTTATATAATTATTGTGAGCCCTAAAAACTTGCCATCTTGAGGAAGTGACAGTTTTTACAGGTCCCACGCAGCATGGGAGTCCACGCAGCAAGACCGAACGCTTCATTCATTTAGGGCCTGTTTTTTTTTTATATTATGGAGTCTTCTCTTTTTCGCCCTGTGAGAAAAGAGGAGATTACACTTTGGTAGCAACGGTTGTCCCCCTCACCCCCTACCTCCCCCCTCAAATATAAATATATACATATACTATAGTATATGTTATAAAAATGATGAGATTTTATGCTGATTTTTGATTATCTTGTGGAATGTTGTATTAAAATATTATTTTATTGAAAATATATTTCATAGATTCAAATACTCTGCTAGGTCATACTTCCCTACGAAAACTCATTGTTGTTGTTTCCCGATGGCCGGCTCAAACCTTTTGTACATTATGTAAATAAGTTTTTCATTATTTTATTCTTACGCCCTAATCCAGGCAGTCCTTTTACCAAATTATGTTTATATATATATATATATATTCCCTCAGCTCAATTAAATTTATTTTTAATCTTCAATATTTTTATTATTATAGTTTCAAGCTTTTAACCACGACTGCATTAACATAGCATAATCCATAAGATAATCAAAAATCAACAAAAAATCTCATCATTTTTTATAACATATATATAATCTTCATTTGAAAAGTCATATATTGGATCATTTTAATTGAATATATATTTATAGATTTCTCTATTTTGAAAACGATATATGCCACTGAAATTTGAAAGAATAATTAAACCTTAAAATGTGTCGTTGTAATAGAATTGATTTATATTATCAGCCCTATTATAACATTTTCACTATTATTAAATCAAAAATCATAATCCTATAATACAATGATTTAAAAAATGCTTAATATCAGTATATGGTTATTTAAAGTGCAGTCCAGGTATCAGTGGCAAACACATATGGAAGTCAGGAACCAGAAGCTGCAATGTATAAGTGGGACTAGCCCTGGTCTGGCAGACAGAAGAGTGACGTGGAGGTGGTGTCGGTGCATATTGTTCGCTAATTAGCATTTAAAGGGTTTATTAAATAAGGCGAAGATCGTTTCTGGCGATGGTTTTCTTTTCAATCTGAAAATAAACACATCTCCAGAAACCTGACGCCGGATATAATTCATATACAGTAGATTTGCATCTATTGTATCAAAGAGTTTATATAGTATTTTTCTTCGGAATCGGATAATGAACCCTGTGAACAAGATATTTGAGTAGGTCAAGTGTGTTGTCTTTCTGTAAGAGGGGAGAAATGTAGCATCAACCAGCGTAGACTGACTGAGTCTGCTAAGTCGACTGTTTCAATTTGAATACATCTCTCTTTATTTTATATAATCTCACATTCCATTTTTGAGGCTTCATATATCTCAATATACATTATTATTTATTATTGATTAATATATGAAAAATATTATTTAAAAACAAACTTGAAAAAGAGAATACATGTATTTCAAAATATCGTCTAGTATGCAACAGTAAAAAGAAGGGCATTTTGAGAATTGCACACGCAGTCGTTTATTTAAATAATCTACAAGTATGTGTGGAACTCAAATTCTGGTCCGTTTCCAAGGTGACTAATGTGTCAATGGCGCCCATTTTTCAATCAGACAATACAACAACAACATCTGTGGAAGGAGTGAACAAGTAGTTATAGACCCACTTACAACATCCGTAAGATGTATTTTTTATAGTAGGTATTTCTTAATATGAACAATTCTTTATATAAAACATAATTTAATTGTACAGTTAATCTATCCAGAATACCTATAGTAATCTAGATGGTGCTTACAGAGCTCTTCTTACATTCGATCGTATTAGAAACTACATATTCTATTTTTGCACAAGAAAACAAACAGACAATAAGTTGATTTCTGTAAGAGAAAAGAAGAGTATGAGGCTATTCTACAGCTTGCTCTAAGGTCCTACGCCTCTACAAGGAACTTGGATATTTGAAACCCTTTATCCATATAACTTGGCTCAACAGTGGTGAACCCTCATAGCGGTTTCCTTAATTTAATCTACCAGAACACTTCTCAGAGCTCTAATACAGTATTGGAAGATTATGCTTATATACAAGTATTATACTTGTATTCTATACTGAAGGGTGTGATCTCAGAAATAGTATTCGAGCAAAGTGTACCATATATAATCAGAATCGTCCAATACAGTATTAGAGCTCTGAAAAGCTGTCTGGTAGATTAAATTGAGGAAAAGCCCGGGAGGCTTCCTCATCAATGAGTCAAACCCTCCCAATATTTTTGTCATATATTTTTCGTTAACATTGTACTGCATTAATAAATGGGAGCTTCTTTTTCTATCAATTGATTCTGTATCTACCGTTTTCTTTAATACCACGTGTGGAAAATATATTGATGCGCGAAGTATCTATAGATTGATAAAATATTAAAATAATTTTTGTTAATGCTTAGTATATTTGAATGTAATGTTTATTATATTTTATGTTACACACACACACACTTGTAAATTCAGATTGATATTTTTTAATATAGGCTAGACATATTTCTTCAAGGGGACCTTAACAAATTTTCTACCTGTATAATCTTAGCATAATGAGATTTATTCAAATTAAGATAGACTTCGTTTCGACAAAAATATTTGTCCTCTTCAGCAAAAAGAAAAATAAAATTATTTAGCAAGGGGTTATAAATGTATATATTTTATAAATATTTTAATTTATAAGATAGATAAATTTATATTATGATCCTTGCTCTAAATTCTTTTATTATTTATATTTCCTGACGAGGACAAAATAATTTTGTAGAAACGAAAATAGAAACCTTTTTGGCCGAAATGTTTCTTAATTTTGAGAACTATGAATTCGGGCCAGGCAATCTCTAACTTCCAGCCAACATACTGATTATACAAACTTCGGATTTAAAATAAAATTCAATTTAAAGAAGAGGTGTTGAAATTTTACGTAAGCATACCGTATTGATATGGAAACTAGGTCTCCTAAGGCAACTTCCCAGAGAAATGACCAGATGGGAAGATAAGGTCCAACTGCCAGGTTCCCATATCCCTAGCTATAAATTCCTCCCTGAATCTCCCCAACTAACCATTCTCCAACATGAAGGGTTTATTCTTGCTCGCTTGTGTCTCTCTCTGCGTGGCGGTGGTGTATGGGGTGAGTAGCTACACATCTTTCGTTTACT